CCGAAAAATATTCCAGCATAATATACTGGAGTTCCAGTATAATATACTGATCCAGCATAATATAGTGAAAGTTCATACACATGTGCTCCAATCTCTAGTATATTATGCTAGAACTTTTCGTGTATTGGAGTTCCGGCATAATATGCTGGAAGTTCATACACAAATGCACCAATCTCCAGTATATTATGCTGGAACTTTTTGTGTTGCAGCAAAATAGTGGTTATTTTTCAATAACTTTACAAACGTTGGCTATTTTTTAATTACCAATTCGAAAATTGGCTAGCCCGTACTATTTTTTACCCCAATATCTCTAGCGGCCCCAAATTAATTTTTTTCATGAAAAAATATGCTTTTTCTTTGATATACTAAATATTTTTAAAAGAAAAATTATCACATACAACTATTTAATATTAAAATTTTTGGGGGCCCCAAAGATGTGGAGCCTCAAGCAATTCCTTGACTTGCTTTACCATTGGGTTATGCCTAATTCCATAACATAAAGGAAGATAAATAGTACATTAATGCTCTCTAGTAGATAAATCAACTTTAATAGTAGCATATATACCTGAAAATTTCAATTCTTGATTTTTCTGTACAAGTAAAATCCTTTTTATATTCCATAAGCTTTTACTTTACATCCTTCCATGAAATCCTTCAAATAAATCAACTTTAATAGCATATATACTTGAAAATTTTAATTCTTCTTGATTTTTCTGTACAATTAAAATCCTTTTCTTGGTCTTTTAGGCCAATTTTCTTAACCCCTTCTCTTTGCCAAGTGAAATGTTTTCTTTAAGAAATGATTAGCAAATTTATCATTCCTATAACAAATTACCCTCAAGATTGTATTAGCATCTGATCTATTCCATTTTCCTGTAGTTGGTGGCATAGGTAGTTTCTGTCCTGTTCCCACAACTCCCATTCCACTAGCTTCACAAGCTACACTGCTAAAATCTTCTACCAATTGTTCAGTTGTCTGTCCCATTAAAGCCACAACCCCTTCTGCTATTTTAGCTGCTTTTTCCACCACATCTTCTAGTATTAAACCTTCTCCACAAGTACAAAATACTCTCTTTAAACTTTCAAAATCTTCCTCAATCATCTGATGATCCATTCTGGAGAAGTTTCGTCGGCTTCCACCGGCTAATAAAACCATAAGATAGGCCTCAAAAGAAGCCTTCATCACTTCTTTGAGTGCTAATGGTTGAGCTCGGTCGATGAGAATTGCACATAAAAGAGTCAGGTTCTGCTTAAGTATCCTTAAAGCTGGTCGAATACGTGCATTTTCAACATCACCTACGTATAGGCTTGCGTAGAATACATTGTTGGAATCGAAGAAGATCAGACGATAAGCAGCAACTTCTGATACGTGTTGAACGGCTGCTTGGATGGATGAACGTGTTGGATCGAAGAAGGAACAACATGCGAGCTGTCTGTTCTTGTTGTAACGACTTCCTGGAGTAGCGATAACTCTTGAGGAGAGCGATAGTGTTTTGTCGAGGGAATTGAGTTGCTGAAGAAGGTAATGTAAGGTGTTAAGCCTTATATAAAGGCGTTGAGTCCCTCGGCTTGTTGAAGGGCGCGGATTGTTATCTTCGTCTGTCAAATGCTGGTTCGGATCGTTTGATCCAACACTACAAGCAGCTTTCTTCCACAGTTTCACAAATCTTGAGTCTTGGCCACATCTTGTTAAAGGAGGAAGTGTAGGCATGTAACTCTGTTTTGACCCTGCAGAAAAAACGGATCTTTATACAAATAGCTGGTCGGATTCACTATTTACTTTTCCTAGCCGGTATAAAAAGATTATATATGGTTTACATATGTTATACATGAATTATACGTATATTCTAAATCCGCTGGCTATTTTTAGTTTAAGCGGTTGGGTGAATGACTATTTAGGTTAATTCAACGCATAAAACCAAACTATTTTAAGAACAAAAACAATTTGAGCATCAAAAAATGACTTTGGGCTATGAATTTGAGGGAAGAGTTCTTACCACATGATGCAACAAAGGTAACATAATCTTTGAATAGGTTTTCTATGCCATCAGCAAGATCATTGACCAAATTCTCAGTGATGATTATTGGAATTTCGAAGAAATTGTCCACTGCTTCCTTGGCATGTTTCACTAGATCAATTGCTGATTGTGCATATGGCTCACTTTTGGATTTTGGATTCCATGTCTGCATAAAAAATATTTTACATTAATTAACTCCTTCTAGTATGAGTATGAACCGAGGCAGAACCAAAATTCTAACTTTATGGGTTCTAAATTTTAGAATCACGGTTTCAAGTGGTTGTTAACACAAATATACTGGTTGAGCATAAGTTACAAGGTTCTATCGAGCCCGCATACAGGCTTCTAGCTCCGCCCCTGAATTATATGAATTATAGATGTCCCTATTTTTAAATTGAAAAAGTAACGAAATAACTTACTTCAGAGTCTTTTGATCTCACAAGAACGTCTTTCCCTTTCTTCAAACTATCTTGGATCCATTTCCTCAATAGGTTAATTTTGATTGAATCAACTTCATAAGGAATCATTTCCCTCACCATTGTTTTGCCTCCATCTTCACAATCGACCGAGTCCTCTACCACCATTTGGACTAAAACCTTTTCAAGTTTTCCAGCCCTTTGCAATACTAACGCTGTTTCGCTTGTGAGAAAGGTTGTACCTGCTAGGTATTGCCTCAACAAAGTTCCATAACATGTATGTAATGTCACTGCTGCAACTCCGGCTGCAATCGGATGCCATTTCTTAAGGACAGGAGTAAATATTTCCTTCTCCTTAGTTGCAAATTCTTCTGTTTCATTAGCTAATTTAATGAGTGTCTCGATCACGTCTTCACTTTCAAAACTCGTAACGTTTATATTCCGTTCTTCCAACATCTAAGAAAATGAAAAATGATCTTATTATTTGAACTGAACATGTATCGACAAGGGTTAAAAACAACAACAACAAAATTTAAAAAAATAAAAAAATTAAAAAAAAGGTAGTGTAATCTCACTAGTGGGGTCTAGGGAGGGTAGAGCTATATATATTGCGCGGACACTCCAAAATGTTGTCGCACCCGTGTCGGATCTTCCAAAAAATGCACTAATTTGGAGGATTCGACACACACTAGGCAACATTTTTAGAGAGTCCGAGTAACATAGGGGTAGAGTGTGCGCAGACCTTACCCCTACCTGAAGAAGGTAGAGAGTGTGTTTCCGGAAGACCCTCGGCTCAATCGACAAAGGTTAAAAAAGAAGTGCTAAAATACAAACCTTACTGAATGCAGTCCTTAAAGAGGAACGGATAAAGTGATTCACTCTATTCCCCGTTGTATCATCTTTCACATCCCCTTTTTCAGCAGGGGAAGATACATATCCCGGAACATCTTCCTCTAATATTTTCGACGCAGAAAACATGAGAGGAATAATATTTTCCATTAGTCCAATATTTTCCGCGTGAAAACTTGCATGATAATTCAACAATCTCTTCTCACACCATCGTTTCATCGACGTTAAAACACTCTTTAGCATCTTAAGATAAATACGCTCTTTGTCCACCTTCTTAGCATCACTTGCAACTTCAGTTAACATAGTCAATGTTGCACCGAGAAGATCAGGCTCAATTTGGTTCGTCACAACATATTGCTCGAAAAGTACCCATGTAAAACACAAGTTTTGAATTGATCTATTAATACCCAATGTAGACCATGTCTTTTTCATCAATTCAAGAAGCTCATCGACCTCATTGAGGACTAACGTATCGTCTTTGAGATCAAAGATCGAGCCTAAAAGAGCCGTGTAAATGTGGATATTGAGAGGGAATCCATCCGCCCAACGACAAGTATCGTTAGGGGCACCATCAGCACTTCTCCAAGCTAAGGAAACTACAGCATTGCAAAGTGATCTCATTGTTTCTGAATTTTTGCTAGTGTCAATAGGTTTGTACTCACAAGCTTGAATGATCTCTCTTAACCGCGCTGCGGATGCATTGTCTTTTTCTACTGGAATAGAGGGGTGAAGGAGAAGGCCTATTTCAAGGATGCGAAGTTGGCGTTTTTGCCATAAATGGTATTCTTGAGGATCGTTGAATTCGGATGGTTTCAGGTGGCGTATAAGCTCCAATGGTAGGATTATTGTCTCTGCTCGCCTTCCCATCTGCACAAAGTTCACTCACATTTGTTAAGAGTTACTAATTCTTGAGTATTTGTGTTTACAATTTAACATTACATTGAATGATAAAGAAGGTGAAATAATACAAATAAGAACAAAAGGGCAGATCGGTGCCCTAAGCTCCAGCTATGCGGGGGTCCGGGAAGGGCCGGACCACAAGAGTCTAATATACGCAGTCTTACCCTACATTTCTGCAAGATGATATTTTCACGGCTCGAATAAGAATGAAAACCACAAAACAAAGGGCATTTCTATATAGGATTAAACAATACTAGAAATGAAAAATAGGGATCATATAGCTTTTTTAAGTTTCCATAGAACAATTTGTGTTTGGAAGATTGTTATTTTAAAACTATAATTACATAAATCACTTGTGTTTAGATTTGATATTTTCTAAAATGTAAAGCTCTAATTTTCTTATCTAAGAATATAAACCTAGAATTGGCAGCCCTTTATACATTGGATAATTATCTAGCAAACCTCTGCATTATCACATTCCACCTGCATGATGCAATTTACTTCAAAAGAAGCTTTCATAATTCATTAGTAAATCTAATTTTGTAAGAAGAAAAAAAAGAATAAAATGAAAGGATAATAATAGATAAAACTTGAACCAAATATAGAGAGAAAATCAGGTAATAATTATAATAACAAATAAGTTACATACAAAAAAGAGGGTAAAAGTGATCATATTTAATAATGGAATCTTTACACAAATAGATGTCGGATTTACTGTTTTCTTTTCCTAGCGGGTATATATAGATTATACATTGGTTATAAATATCGATTATTTATATATTATATGTCCACTGACTTTAGTTTAAGCGGTTGGATTAGCGGCTATTTAAGTTCATTTTTCTTTAAAATTTTATGATTATTTAGAAAAGGGTGTTTCATTCTTTCAAAATAAAATATTATTTTTGCTAAACCAATAAATATATAGACATTATTTTACGTACTTGGCCAACAAGAGTTCTCATAAGAGTTTTCCTTAGCCTATTATCACTCTGCTCCGACACTTTCATCTGCAGCCTCATAATCTCAGCCGACGTCAACGGCCTTCGTATCTTCGCCTGCGGCACCACCGTCGAGCCCGTTTTAGGGCTCGGCGTCCCGGCATTAGGCGAAGACGGAGCATTAGAAGTACTAGTCCTACGGGACGGCAACTTCTTCAACATCTTTAACCCTAATGCCGTTTTCACCCTACTAGTTATTGCCATCCCCACCCCGGGGGGCTTCGGCGATCCAGGGCCCGACAAACCCGAACCGGACCCCGATCCGTTTCCATCTCCTGATCCCTCAGATGAATTGAGAGAATTAGAAATCGCCGCCGTTCTTCCACCGAACCCCGGCGATGACCGGCATGCTGTGAAGAATATCTCGTAAGCTGCCTCTCGAAAATCGTCTCGATCGAGCCCTTCGAGTTCCCCGAATGGCCATACGAGGTCGACGACGATGATAGGATCCTCCGACTGGGATGGATTCGGGTCGGGTTTTTGAGAGGGCTGAGTTTTTATATGGTGGGGAGGGTGAACCATAGTGGTGGCAGGCGGCATGAAGGAATTTTGTTGTTAAATATCAGGCGGCAGAGGGAAGCAAATGAGCATTATATATGAAGCTGTTTTTTTAGCAGAAAAAGGAAGAAAAAAGAGAGAAGAAAGAGAGAGTTTTTGATTTGAGACAAAGAGAAAGAGAGGTGGAAAGAATAGATGGTTAAGGAAAATTCTGTTTGTTTTTGCGAAGAAAACGAGAAGCAAAGGTGGTTGAAAGAAGAGAGTCGTTGCTAAGTGGCGCCAAATACGTATTTTTCGGTTCATCCTGTATTATTTATTCTATTTGGTTGTATTTCCTTTATAAAAATAACTATTCTCTCCATGTCAAATGTTTAGGGAAAAAAAAATTTACCTTAAATAAAATTAAATTTGAAAAAAATTTAACTTACAGTTAATATTTTACGTCGGGTTAAAATCATTTACATCACCCCAAGTTTATTTTAAAAATCAAACTCATCCTCCAACTTTGAACAATTATCATTCTACTTCTCGTATCAAAGGTGACTTCTTAAAATGCCTATTTTACTCTCTATATTTTTTATCTCTTATTTTTAATCTTTAAATTTATGATATTTTAATATTATAAGTTATGTTATCGACTTACCTATAGACAAATTTAAAAAAAAAAAATTGAAACCACACTAGTCAAACATATAAGTTATGATGTTCAATAGTGAAATAAAATGAGAAAAATAAAAAATTACAATAAATAATTTACTTGTATCAGTAATTTTATTAATAGCA